ACTTTAAATTCCAATTTAACCCCTTGCCCTAAAACGCTTCTTGACATTGTACAGAACCCGGGGGCCCATAGCACCAGACACAAGCATCTCTATGATATTCCCCATGTTCGACTAAACCTTTACAAAAATTCAATGCATTTCAAAGGACCTAAAATCTGGAACACCCTACCTGAAAACTCTAGAACTGCAGACACATTCATCACTTTCAAAACTGCAGTTAGAAAACATCTTATCTCCCTGATCCACCCAACAACTAACTACATGATAACCACCTGGTGGTTCAAATTACACTCATCACCCACTAACTATAAACCCAGAAATACTAATCTTATTCTTAAAATAATAAATCCTAACTAGTCATAAGTTTGCCTATGATACTCAAATATAGACACCTTGTATTGTGCCAAAACAAAAGCATTCACATTGCTAAACTCACAAATTATGATATAGTCACTTAGCCTTAATACTATAATCTGTAAGGATTTAATGTTAAGAATTAATCTAAGTCTGCTCGAAATGCCTAGCCATGCTAGGTGTCCTAGTGGCCCCCTCTGTAATTAGTATTTTATAACATGTAAACCACACAATACCCAAAACCTGTAAACCCCACATTGTAACCATTATAGAGAATAAACTTGAATTGAATTGAATTGAATTAACATCTCCTCGTAGGACATACCCCTTAGCTCTGGGACTAGTCTAGTTGCAAACCTTCGCACTTTCTCTAGTTTCTTAAACCAGCAAATAATAGAGCCTACTAGACTGGAGAATACACTAGACCTTATCTTCACTCACAATGATGATCTGATACGAAATGTCACCATATCAAAAACAATATACTCAGATCACAACATAATCGAGGTTCAGACATGTATGCGCGGAGCCCCAGACCGGCAAAATGAGATTAGTCATGAGGGAGCCTTCACCAAATTCAACTTCAATAGCAAGAACATAAAGTAGGACCAAGTAAATCAAGTCCTAAACGATATGAGCTAGGAAGATAGACTAAGCAACACAGACCCCAACTTAATACAACATATCCTGACAGAGAATTACATAATATAATAATTGACCTATGAGACTTATTACCAGGGAGAAGGGTAGCTGTTATCAGTAACATGGACTTGTAATCACTCATAATTCACCGACCAGGTGACCCGAGATTCGTAATGTGTAGTCCATTACACACACGGCTGTCCAGGGCTCCCGCTCACCGAGCCTGTCCCGACCTCTCTCTTTTCTCTAGCCATTTCCTTGAGCTTATATGGCCCTTAAAGCACCCCCCTATGAGGCTAACACCACGTGTTTTAGAACCTGACGCTGGTCAAGAACAAAAAACCTGAGACTTAAGCCACGAGGCATAGCTGACAGGAATTTACCTTGGCAAATAGCTGTCAGCCACGCATTTTTATTTGTACCCTCTTATGCTATTCCCTATTCTGTTAAGCACTGGGATAATACAGGAGACGTGCTTACTTGCTGGGATACCTCAGGGAGAGTGTGGGTAGAGGTCTCACAGAGGAACTTCAAACATTCCCAGTAATTTAGGTATTTTATCGCACTTGTGTGTGCCTTGAAGGTTCTTTGTACATTTTCTAAGTCACAATTTTCATCTGCCTTGAAAGGTACTATCCGTGATGCAGCAATATTCCAGCCTAGATAGAACAAGCGACCTGAAGAGTGTCATCATGATTTTGGCATCCCTAGTTCTGAAGGTTCTCATTATTCATCTTGTCATTTTTCTAGCAGATACAATGTTGTGGTCTTTGAAAGTGAGTTCCTTTGATATTATCATTCCCAGGTCTTCTACATTAGCTTTTCGCTCTGTTGTGTGGTTGGAATTTGTTTTATACTCCAATATAGTTTTAATTTCCTCACGTTTTCCATATCGGAGTAATTGAAATTTCTCATCATTGAACTTCATATTGTTTTCTGCGTCCCATTTAAAGATTTGGTTGATGTCCGCCTGGAGTCTTGCAGTGTCTTCAATAATGATGAATGACCACCGGCCACACCATCGGCTTCACGAAACACATTACCGTAGCTAGCGCAAGAGTATTAGCTGTCAACATAGAAAAAAACAGAGAAATCTGATTTTTTGAGTGACGTTGCCTGAGGTCGTTGCTGAAAAATTCCTAAGAGTTTCCGGAGGAAGCAGTAAATTTCAATAATTTCTAAAATAGTAATTTTGTGAACATTCTGACGAATATTTGATCATATAAAGTATTCTTGGTGTTCGTACCACATTAATGACCACCAGAAAGCCAAGAAATCCTTTAAAAATGCAGTAAAATATATCATTATCAACATAATTTCATTATTGACAAATTTCAATTTACAATAAAAAAAATGAATTCATCATTTATAGATGTTACTGAAGTTCATATCTTGAAGTAAGACATTTTTAAAGTCTATATCCACGTGTTGAAACATCGACCTCGAGCACCAGACATAATTGGTGCTTTTATTAGCATCAAGACAAACTCTTCTAAATTACTTGTAATGAGGCAAAACAAAGTATCAGTCGTGTCTGTGACATGTCTTTAGTATATCAGTCGTTGTGTCTGTGATATGTCTTTAGTATATCAGTCGTTGTGTCTGTGACATGTCTTTAGTACATCAGTCGTTGTGTCTGTGACATGTCTTTAGTACATCAGTCGTTGTGTCTGTGACATGTCTTTAGTATATCAGTCGTTGTGTCTGTGACATGTCTTTAGTATATCAGTCGTTGTGTCTGTGACATGTCTTTAGTACATCAGTCGTTGTGTCTGTGACATGTCTTTAGTACATCAGTCGTTGTGTCTGTGACATGTCTTTAGTATATCAGTCGTTGTGTCTGTGACATGTCTTTAGTATATCAGTCGTGTGTTGTGACATGTCTTTTGTAATCAGTCGTTTGTGTCTGGAATGTCTTTAGTTTTATTAGTCGTTGTGTCTGTGAATGTCCCTTTGTAAAATTTGGTGTCTGTGAAGTCTTAGTAATCAAACGTTGTGTCTGTAATGTCTTTTGTAATCAGCGTTGTGTCTGTGAAAGTTTTAGTACTCATCGTTGTGTCGTGAATGCTTTATACTCAGTCGTTTTTGGGGGGTCCCTTTTGGCAGGAACCATACATAGCTTTTAAGAAGGAGGTATGACAAAGCTCAACGAGCAGAGAGAGGACCTAGCAGCAATCAGTGAAGAGGCGGAACCAGGAGCTGAGTCTCGACCCCTGCAACCACAACTGGGTGAGTAGAATTAGGTGAGTACCTGTGTTCATTAAGACTGGGGTAGCTGGGTGAAAACTACACTGATGTGAATGGCAGAGGGCCAAGGGTAGTGTAAAAGGAATTAGAAAGTCAAGAGGAAATCCCCTACATGTGGTACACTCATCGCTAGCGAAAGACTTTTCATTTCCTGTCATGAGGCATTGTTGAGCATTGTGTGGGCGATTTTCCTCCACGCTGGAGCTGTCTTAATGGGAATATTGTTGAATTTGTGGTTGCAGGAAGACTGATTCTCCGAAAGAATCTATAAAGAGTTGTGGAAAATACTGTATATTATTTTCCAGAAATAACGGTAATTAAGGTAAATAGATGCCCTATATTGTATTTTTAAAAGAAGTATGTTATCGAAAAAAAGACAGGACTCGCCATCTTGGTTTTGAATTTTGTACAAAAACGTTTGGTGTAATGAAGAATTTTTCGTGCTCTAGAGGTGTGAGAATTGTGTTTGACAACCTCTCATATAGGAGGCGAAATTGGTGGATTGCATTCCTGCAAATAACTTGAGATAACAGACGACTGGACAAACAGCTCCCAGGAACCTCAGATAAGCGCTCTAGATTTGTGTGTAATTCTTGCCAGCATTATTTTCATAGATTTAGAGTTAGAGTGAGTTTCTTGAGTATGATACACATTAGTCTCCAGTCAAATTGGGAGTGATATTAAGAATATATTTTCCTTCTGTTATGTAATTGTGTATATAATTATTATTATTTATTATTTTTTTTATTATTATCACACTGGCCGATTCCCACCAAGGCAATCTCGGGTGGCCCGAAAAAGAAAATCTTTCAACCATCATTCACTCCATCACTGTCTTGCCAGAAGGGAGCTTTTACCCCCCCCCTATTAACCCCCCCCGACCCCACACGCCCCCCCACCCCGCCCCCCCCCACCCCAACCGCCCCACCCCCCCCCACTACCCCCCCCCCGGCTACCCACCTCACACAACCACCCACCCCCCCCCCCCCGCCCCACCCAACCCGACACCCTCCTCCCCCCCCCCCCCCCCCACCCCACCCGCCCCTTCCTAACCCACGCCCCTCCCACCCGTCCTCCCCGCCCCCACTCCACTTACCTCCCCCCACCGACCCTACACCCCCCCCCCAGACCCATCCCTCCCCACCCCCATCAACCGCCCCCCCCCACCCCCCCCTCCCCCCCCCCCCCCCACCCCCCCCCCCCCACCACCCCCCCCCACCCCCCCCGACGGCCGTCCCCCCCCCCCCCACCATTCCACCCCCCCACCCCCCACGCCCCCCCCCCCCCCCCTCCCGCACGCCCCCCCCCACCCACCGCGCACCCCCTACCCACCCTCCCCCCACCCCCCCCCCACCCCACCCCCCCCCAACCCCCCCAACACCCCCTCCCCTACCCCACCCCCCCCCCCCCCACCCCACCCCCCCCCCACCGCTCCCCCCCCCCCCCCCCCCCCCACTACCACTCCCCCCCCCCCCACCCGACCCACCCCCCCGCCAACCCCCCCCACCCCCCCCCCCCCCCCCCCCACCCGCGCCCCCCCCCCCACCCCCCACCCAGCACCCCCCCTCTCCACCCCCCCCCCCCCCACCCCCTACACCCCCGGCCCCCCCCTACCCCCCCCCCGTCCCCCCACCCCCACCCCCGCACCCCCCCCAAACCTCCCCCCCCTCACCCCCCAACCTCCCACCTACCCCCCCCACCCCCAAACCCGCCCCCCACCCCACCCCCCCACCCCCCCCCCCACCATCCCCCCGCCCCCCCCCCCCCACACCCCGCCCCCCCCCCCCACCCCCCCACCCCCCCCCCCGCCCCCCCTCCCCATACACCCCCAACCCCCCGCCCCCCCCCCACCCCCTCCCCCCCCCCCACCCCTTTACCCACCCCACCCCCCGCCCCCCCCCCCCCCTACTCGCCCCACCACACGCCACTACCCCCCACCACCACCCCTACCCACCCCCCCCACCCCCCCCACCCCACCCCCCCCCCCCCCTACCCCCCCCCCCCCACCCCCCCACCCCCCCCCACAACCCTCCCCCACCCCTCCACCCCCCCGCCTGCACCCCCCCCCCCGCCCCAACCCCCCCCCTTCCCCCCCCCTCCGCCCCCCGCCCCCCCCCCACCCCCCCCCATTCCCCCCCCCCCGTTAACCCCAACACCACCCCCCCCCCGCGCTAACCCCCCCCCCCCCCCCCCTGCCCCCACGCCCCCCCTCCGACCCCCCCCCCCCCCCCCTACCCGCCCCCCCCCCCCGCCTCCACCCCGCCCCCCCCTACCCGCTCCCCCCAAACCCCCCCCCCCCCCCCCCCCCCCCCCCGAACCCCCTACAACCCCCACCCCCCAACCTCACCGGCCCCCCCCCCCGCCGCCCCGCCCCCCCCACGCGCCCCCCCCCCCCCCCTCCCCACCATCCTTACCCCCCCCCCCCCCCACCCCACCCCCCGTTACCCCACCCCCCCTCACACCCCGACCCCCTCCCTAAGCCCCCCCCGCCCCCCCACCTCCGCACGACCCCCCCCACCCCTACCCCCCCCCATCCCCCCCCCGCCCCCGGCCCCCCCACCCCACCCCCCCCCCCCTACCGCCCCCGCCCCCCCCTCCCCCGCCACCCCCACCCCCCCCCCCCCCCCCCCCTTACCCCCCCCCCCCCCCCCCCCCCGCCCCACCCCCCGCTCCCCCCACCCCCAACCCCTACCCATACCCCGACCTTCCCCCCCCCCCCCCCCCCACTCCCCCCCCCCCCCCCCCCCCCCCCCCCCCCCCCCCACCCACACCCCCTTACACCATTAACTGAAAAAAACAAACAGTATAACCCTACCCCTCCCCCCACCCCCCCCCCACCCCCCGCCCCCCGACTCCCCCCCCCCCCACCCCCCCCCCCTCTCACCCCCCCATCCCACCCACCACTACCCTCCACCCCCCCCCAACCACCTAGGGGTTAACACCCCACCCCCCCCCTACCACCCCCCCCCCCCCCCCCCACCCCCCGCCCGCCCCCCCCTCCCCACCCCCCCCCGTCCCCCCGCCCACCCCTCCCCCCCCCCCCCACCCCCACGATAACACCCCCCCCACCCCAACCACACCCCCCCCCCCCCCCGCCCCCCCCCCCATACACCCCCCCCCCCCCCCCCCCCCCCACCCCCCCCCCGCCCCCACCCCAAACCCCCCCCCCCCCACCCCTCCCCCCCCCCCCCCCGCCCCCAAACCCCCCCGCCCTCGACCCCCCCATTACCCCCCCCCCACTACACCCCCCCCCCCCCACAAACCCCCCCCCCATCGCCCCCCCCCCCCCCCCCGACACCGCCAATCCTCCCCCCCCCCTCCACCCCCCCCTACTCGTACCGACCCCCACCCCGCCCCCCCTCGGCCACCCCACAATTTCTATAAACAAAAAACCAAATATTACCCCCCTCGACCACCGCCCCAAACACTCCCCACCCTACCCCCCCCCCCCCCCGCCCACCCCACCGCCCCACCACCGCACCCCCCCCCTCCCCCCCCCCACACCCACACCCCTCCCGCCCCCCCCCTACCCCCCACCCCCACCCGCCCCCCTACCCCCCCCCACCCCACCACCCCCCCCCGACCTCCCTCCCCCCCGCCACCCAACCACCCCCCCCCCCCCCCCCCCCCACCACCCCACCCAGACCGACCCCCCCCCCACCCCCCTACCCCCCCCCCCCCCCCCCCCCCCCCCCCGCCACCCCTCCCCCTCCCCGCCCCCCACCCCCCCCCACCCCCCCCCACCTACCCCACCCCCAACCACCCCCCCCCCCCCCCCCCCACAACCCCCCCCCCCGCCCCCACCCCCCCCCCCCCCCCCGCCCCCCCCCCCCCCCCCCCCCCCCCCCACCCCCAAAACCCCCCCGCCCCCCCCCCCCCACCCCCACCACCCCCCCCCCCACCCACCCCCCCCCCCCTACCCCCCCATACCCCTCCCCCCCCCCCCCCCCGCCACCCCCCCCCGCGACTCCCCCCCCACCCGCCCACCCCCCTCCCCCCCCCCCGCCCCCCCCCACCCCACCCCCCACCCAACCCCCCCCACCCCCCCCCAACCGCTAACCCCCCCCCCCCCTCCCCCCCCACACCCCCCCGACCCCCCCCCCCCCCCCCCCCCCCCCCCCCCCCCCCCCCCCCCCCCCCACCCCCCCCCCCCCCCCACCACACCCCCACACCCACCCCCCCCGCCTACCCACGCCCCGCCACCCCCTCCCCCACACCCCCCCCCCCCCCCCCCCCCCCCCAACTCCCCCAACCCCCCCTACAACCCCTGCCACCACCCAACCCCTACCCCCCCCCCCCCACCCCACCGCACTCCACCCCCCACCTCCCCCCCCCTGCCCCCCCCCCCACCCCCACGCACCCCCCCCACCCCGCCCCTCCCCCCCCCCACCCCCTCCCACGCCCTCCCCCCGCCCCCCCCCGCCCCCCACCACCCCCCCCCCCCCCCAACACCCCCCCCCCCTCCCCTTACCCCCACCCCCACCAACCCCCCCGCACCTCCACGCCCCCCTACCCCTGCCCCCCCCCCCCCACCCACCTCCCCCCCCCCACCCCCCCCCCCCCCCCACCAACCCCCCCCCCCCCCCACTACAACCTTAACCCCGCCCACCCCCCGCCCTCCCCCCCCACCCCCCCCCCCACCCCCATCCCCCTCCCTTACCTCCCCTCCCCCCCCCCCACCCTCACCCCCCCCCCCCACCCCCTCACCCACCGGCCCCCCCCTCCCCCCCACCCCCCCCCCCCGCCCCCACCAACCCCCCTACCCCCCCCGCCCGGACCCCCCCTCTGTCCCCCCCCCCCCCACCCCCCCCCCCTCCCCGCCCCCCCGCCTCCCCCCCATCTAAAAAAACAAAAAAAAAAACAGAGGTTTTTAACTGCATCATTAACACCCCTCCTTCAGAGTGCAGGCACTGTACTTCCCATCTCCAGGACTGATAAGGGCTCCAGCTGAGAGCTGAAATATAGTCTCTGTGGATATTTTTTTATAATTTTCCTAAGTTCAGCATGTGTAAATATGAATAACATAATAATTGCATATTAAAATGTGATGCTGATTTGACCCTTCAAGAAATTTTGTGGAATGTGTGCAGCGGCCACGGAGTGATACAGGGAGGGGGGGGAAGACGCCATAGTGAATATACATGTGAGCACTGGTTTGTTAGTGGTGTAAAGTAATCTGGCGTCAATGCCATGATGGGGTATTTCGGCCTGAATTTGTAATAGAAACACGTGTTAATGTCCCCTGCTGAAGAATTGGACAGGAAATGTGGACACTCCAGAACTTACGTTATGATGGTGAAAAAATAGGAGACCACACCATCACTCACGCAGGGAAGTACGCCATTGTCCTTTCATTTAGATTTCTCTCTGGCCTGTGTAGGTTTCTATATGTTTAGGTAGCATGGTGGCATGACCCAACTACAGTAATTAAATGGTAATACAAATTTCTTTTTTAATAACACTATTGTATTGTATGCATTGTATTAGTGGTTATATTTTGTGTACCCAGCAAGTAAACCAAAGTAACATACAGTCCACATAATTTTAATTTATCAGAGTAGCTGGTTCTAATATTGTAATTATTAATTTAATGTCAGGTCAAGCTTTTTTGTGAGAGTGGTGAAGGAGTGGGCATCGAGGGAGTGACAGTCCTGTGACCTGTGACCTCACGCAAATTACTTACATGTAATAATTCAAGTAATACCGTGTAAACCTCATGCAGGTAATTTCTCACAGTCTCATTCCCAGTGTTGATTTGGGCTAATATAGAACTTAGGTTTTGGTCTGTACTCATGCATTATTTTATTATGTATTAGACTAGCATATTATCGTTACCCTATCAACAATTATTATTTCTTGTGCAAAATTTTATTTCTGGAGACATTTTGCAAAAACCAGTAAACAATTTTATTTTGGCAAGAGTGACGCATCAGATCAAACCAACACTTAGTACTGAGTTGTGTAATGCAGCATAAACATAGGCAAATTGAACATTAACAAAGACATATCATTCATAGGCCTGGTCGTGGACCGGGCTGCGGGGGCGTTGATCCCCGGAATAACCTCTAGGTAACCTCCAGGTAACAGTTGGCAGAGTAAGGTTAAAATATAGGCACAATATCATGGCTGGAATAATACAAAAATAATAGGCCCTAAGTCTGGGTTATTTGTGTAGAGTTATGTTAGGTTAGGTTAGGCTGGGTTTTCTTAGGATGCATTACGTTTCTTAACATTTGCTCAAAATAAAGTTATGTCCAGGACATAACCCACCTAATGTCGCACACTTTATGAATAAATTATCTCTCAACTCAAACTTGAACTCTGTGTTAATCTTGACTTGTATACAAGTATCTTCATTACATTTTCCATCATCTTATGTATATATATAATATATATATATATATATATTTATATATAAATATATATATATATATAAATATATATATAAATAATAAAATATATATATATTATATATGTCAGTGCGAATATGTAAAATGGTCAATTAGCAAAAACTCATTTAAAAATTAAGTCCTTTCTGAAATTTCTCTACACGTTAAAGATATATTTTTTTTCATTAATTTGATGTAAAAATTTACAATTTTGCACCAAAAGGAACTTAGAAAACTTACTAACCTAATTAATAACAGAACAATTTCTTTTAGCCTAACCTAACTAAATATATTTAGACTTGTTTACAGTAATTTAATGCTAAACAAACACCAGAGAAATATATTTTTTTCGTTAGGTTCAGAATGATTTTGGCGAAATTATTGCATAACAAATTTTCACGTACTATTCTGCAAGATGAGCGTTGCTCCCTTTAAGCCAGATCGCAAGTTCAGCCATTCGTCAGCGACATATATATATATATATATATATATATATATATATAATATATATATATATATATATATATATATATATATATATTATATATATATATATATATATATATATATATATAATATATGTGTGTGTGTGTCGTACCTAATAGGCAAACTTTGCCATCTTGCCTAAAACAGCACGTACATCTTGGCCATATAGGAGCAATCGAAAATTTGTGTATGCAATAATTTTCAGCCAAATCATTCTGAACCTAACGTAAAAAATAATTTTACTGTGTCTGGTTTTAATATAAATTATTGTAAACAAAATCTAAAATATATTTAGTTGGTTTAGGCTAAAATAAATTGCTCTTGTTATAATAAGGTTAGGTAAGTTTTCTAAGCTTTGTTTAAATTTTCCTTAGGATGTTACTGGAGGGTTTTTACCTTGTCTCATCCCACAGTTTGGAGCCCTACTGTCTCATCCCACACATTGGAACCCTACTGTCTCATCCCACAGTTGGAGCCCCTACTGTCTCATCCGACAGTTGGAACCCTAACTGTGGTCATCCCACAGTTGGAAACCCTACTGTCTCACACCACTGTTGGAGCCCTACTCCTCTCATCCCACAGTTGGATCCTACTGTCTCATCCCACAGTGGAACCCTACGTCTCATCCCCACAGATGGAACCCTACTGTCTCATCCCACCAGTTGGAACCCACTGTCTCATCCACAGTTGAACCCTACTGTCCTCCTCCCACAGTTGGAACACCTATTGGTCTCTCCCACAGTTGAACCCTAACTGTAATCCTCCCACAGTTGGAACCCTACTGTCCTCATCCCACGGTTGGAACACTACTGTCTCATCCACAGTTGGTACCCTACTGTCCTCATCCCACAGTTGGAACCCCCTGTCTGATCCAACAGTTGGAACCCTACTGTCTCATCCAACAGGTTGGAACCCTGATGTCTCATCCCACAGTTGGAACCCACTGGTTTCATCCACAGTTGGAACCCTACTCCCTCTCATCCCACAGTTGGAACCCTACTGTCTCTATCCCACAGTTGGAACCCTACTGTCTCATCCCAACAGTTGGAACCCTACTGTCTCATCCTAGTGTCTCATCTCACAGTTGGAACCCTACTGTCTCATCCTACTGTCTCATCCCACAGTTGAAACCCTTCTGTCTCATCCCACAGTTGGGAACCTACCTGTCTCATCCCAACAGATGGAACCATACGTCTCCATCCCACAGTTGACCCAACTGTCCCATCCCACAGTTGGAACCCTACTGTCTCATCCCACAGTTTGAACCCTACTGTCTCATACCACAGTTGGAACCCTACTGTCTCATCCTACTGTCTCATCCCACAGTTGGAACCCTACTGTCTCACCACATATGAACCTACTGTCTCAACCCACATTTGAACCCTACGTCTCATCCCACAGTTGAACCCTTCTCTGTCTCATCCGCATAGTATAAGGAGCCCCCACTGTCCCTCATCCCACAGTTGGAACCCACTTTCTCAACCACCGTTGGAGCCATACTGTCTCATCTCACAGTTGGAACCCTACTGTCTCATCCCACAGTTGGAACCCTACTGTCTTATCCCACAGATGGAGCCCAACTGTCTCATCCCACAGTTTGGAACCCTACTGTCTCAATCCCGCAGTTTGAGCCCTACTTGTCTCATCCCACATTGGAACCCTACTGTCTAATCGCAGAGTGGAACCCAAATGTCTAATCCCACAGTTTGGAACACTACGTCTCATCCACAGTTGGAAAACCCTACAGTTTCATCCCACAGTTGGAACCCCTACAGTCTCAAAATCCCACAGTTGGAACACTACTGTCTCATCCCACAGTTGGAACCTACTGTTTCATCCCACAGTTGGAACCCTACTTGTCACACCCACAGTTGGAACCCTATCTTCTCATCCCCACAGTTGGAACCCTACTGTCCTCACCCCACAGTTGAACCCTACTGTCTCATCCACACAGTTGAACCCTAATGTCTCATCCCACAGTTGGATCCCTACTGTCAGTCATCCCACATTTGGAACCCTACTGTCTCATCCCAAGTTGGAACCCTACTGTCTCATCCTACAGTTGGAACCCTAACCCTACGTGTCCTCATCCCACGTTGGAGCCCTACTGTTTTTCATCCTACAGATGGAACCCTACTGTTTCATCCCACAGTTGGAGCCCTACTGTTTTCATCCTATCAGTTTGGAACCCTACTGTTTCATCCCACAATTGGCACCCTAACGTCTCATATCCCACAGTTGGAGCCCTACTGTTTCATCCCACAGTTTTGAACCCTACTGTCCACACCCACGTTTGAAACCTCTACTGTCTCATCCCACAGTTGGAGCCCTACTGTCTCACCCCACAGTTGGAACCCTATTTCGTCATCCACAGTTGAACCCCTACTGTTCCTCACCCCACAGTTGGAACCCACTGTCTCATCCCACAGTTGGAACCCTACTGTCTCACCCCAAGTTTGGAACCGGTCTACTTTTCTCTCATCCCAGTTGGGAACCCTACTGTCTCACCCCACAAGAGTTGAACCCTACTGCTCACCCCACAGTTGGAACCCTACTGTCTCACCCCACAGTAGAAACCCTACGTTCTCACCCCACAGTTGGAACCCTACTCCTCATCCCACATTGGGAACCCTACTGCCCTCACCCCACAGTTGAACCCTACTGTCTCATCCCACAGTTTAACCCTACTGTCCTCATCCCACAGTTGAACCCTACTTTCTCATCCCACAGTTGGAACCCTAACTGTCTCACCCAACAAGTTGGAACCCACTTTCGATCATCCACAGTATGGAACCCCTACTGTCTCACCCACAGTTGAACCTACTTGTCTCATCCCCAGCAGTTGGAACCCTACTGTCTCATCCCACAGTTTGGAACCACTACTGGTCCTCATCCCACAGTTGGAACCCTACTGTCTCATCCCACAGTTGAAACTCTACTGTCTCATCCCACAGTTGGAACCCTACTGTCTTATTCCACAGTTTGGAACTCTACTGTCCTCATCCCACAGTTGGAACCCTACGTCTCTTCCCACAGTTGGAACCCTACTGTCTCATCCACAGATGAAGCCCTACTGTCTCATCCAACAATTGGAACCTACTGTCTCATCCACAGTTGAACCACTACTGTTCATCCCACGGTTGGAACCCTACATCTCATCCCACAGTTGGAACCCTATACTGTCTCATCCACAATTGGAACCCTAACTGTCCATCCCACAGTTGGAACCTACTGTTTCAACCCACGGTTGGAACCCTAACTGTCTCACCCCACAGTTGAACCCTAACTGTCTCACCCAACAGTTTGTAACCCTACTGTCCAATCCCACAGTTGAAACCCACGGTCTTACACCCACAGTTGGAACCCTACTGTCTCATCCCACAGTTGGAACCCTACTGTCTCATCCCACAGTTGGAACCCTACTGTCTCATCCCACAGTTGGAACCCTACTGTCTCATCCCACAGTTGGACCCTCTACTTGTCTCATCCCACAGTTGGAACCCTACTGTCTCATCCCACAGTTGGAACCCTACTGTCTCATCCCACAGTTGGAACCCTACTGTCTCATCCCACAGGTTTGGAACCCTATCTGTTCTCATCTCACAGTTGGACCTCTACTGTCTCATCCCACAGTTGGAACCACTACTGTCTCATCCCACAGTTGACCCCTACTATCTCATCCCACATTGGAACCCTACTGTTTCATACCCACAGTTTGGAACCCTACTGTTTCATCCCACAGTTGGAACCCTACTTGTGTCTCATCCCACAGTTGGACCCTACTTTTTCATCCCACAGTTGGAACCCTTACTGTTTCATCCCCACAGTTGGAACCCTATGTCTCATCTCACAGTTGGAACCCTACTGTCTCATCCCAACAGTTGGAACCCTACTGTTTCATCCCACAGTTGGAACCCTACTGTTTCAACCCACAGTTTGGAACCCACGTCTCATCCCACAGTTGGAACCCTACTGTTTCATCCCACAGTTTGGAACCCCACTGTCTCATCCCACAGTTGGAACCCTACTGTCCATCCACATTGGAACCCCTACTGTTTCATCCACAGTTGGAACCCTCTGTCTCTCCCATAGGGTTGGAACCCTACTGTCCTCATCCCCAGTTGGAACCCTACTGTCTCATCCCACAGTTGGAACCCTACTGTCTCATCCCACAGTTGGAACCCTACTGTCTCATCCCACAGTTGGAACCCTACTGTCTCATCCCACAGTTGGAACCCTAATGTCTCATCCCACAGTTGGAACCCTCTGTCTCATCCAACATTTGAGAACCCTAATGTCCTCCATCCCACAGTTTGGAGCACTACTGTACTCATCCCAACAGTTGGAACCTACTGTGTCTCATCCACAGTTGGAACCCTAATGTCTCATCCCACAGTTGGAGCCCTACTGTTCTCAACCCACAGTTGGAAAACCCTATTACTGCTCATCCCGCAGTGGAACCCTACAGTCTCATCCACAGTTTGGAACCCTAAATGTCTCATCCCACAGTTGGACCCTACTGTCTCATCCCACAGTTGGAACCCTAATGTCTCATCCCACAGTTGGAGCCCTACTGTCTCAACCATCGTTTGGAACCCTAACTGTCCCTTCATCTCAGATCCCCACAGTGGAACCTTCTGTCTCATCCCAAAGTTGAACCCTACTGTCTCATCCCACAGTTGGAGCCCTAATCTAGTCGCATCCCACAGTTGAACCCTACAGTCTCATCCCACATTGGAACCCTAATGTCTCATTCCCACAGTTGGAACCCTACTGTCCCACATCCCACCAGTTGGAACCTACTGTCCATCCCACAGTTGGAACCCTAATGTCTCATCCCACAGTGGGAACCCTACTGTCTCATCCCACATTGAAACCTACTGTCTCATCCCACAGTTGGGAACCCTACTCTCTCATCCACACAGTTTGAAACCCTACTGTCCATCCCACATTGGAGGCCCTACTATATCATCCCACAGTTGGCCCTACTCTCTCATCCCACAGTTGGATCCTACTGTCTCAATCACCACAGTTGGAACCCTACTGTTCTCATCCACAGTTGGAGCCCTACTATCTCATCCCACAGTTTGGGAACCTACTGTCTCATCCCACAGTTGGAGCCCTACTGTCTCATCCACAGTTGGGAGCCCTAACTATCTCATCCCGACAGTTGGAACCCTACTGTCCTCATCCCACAGTGGAACCCTACGTCTCATCCACAGTTTGGAGCCCTACATCTCAACCCACAGTTGGAAAACCCTACTGTCTCCATCCCACAGTTGGAACCTACTGTCTCATCCCACAGTGGAACCCTACTAATCTCATCCCACAGTTGGAGCCCTACTGTCTCCATATCCCACAGTTGGAACCCTACTCTCTCATCCCACAAGTTGGAGCCCTACTGCTCATCCCACAGTTGGAGCCCTACTGATCTCATCCCACAGTTGGAAACCCTACTGCTCATCCCACAGTTGGAGCCGTACTATCTCATCCCACAGTTGGAACCCTACGGTCTCATCCCACAGTTGGAGCCCTACTATCTCATCCCACAGTTGGAACCCTACTGTCTCATCCCACAGTTGGAGCCCTACTGTCTCATCCGCACAGTTGGGAGCCCTACTATCTCATCCCCACAGTTGGAACCCTACTGTCTCATCCCACAGTTGGAGCCCTACTATCTCATCCCACAGTTGGAACCCTACGGTCTCATCCCACAGTTGGAGCCCTACTGTCTCATCCCACAGTTGGAACCCTACTGTCTCATCCCTCGTTGGAGCCCTACTGTCTCATCCCACAGTTTGGAGCCCTACTATCTCATCCCAACAGTTGGGAAACCCTAACTGTCTCATCCCACAGTTGAGCCTACTGTCTCATCCCACAGTTGGAGCCCTACTATCTCATCCCACAGTTGGAACCCTACTGTCCCTCCACCTCCCACAGTTTGGAGCCTCTACTATCTCATCCCACCAGTGAACCCTACGGTCTCAATCCCACAGTTGGAGCCCTACTGTCTCATCCCACAGTTGGAACCCTACTGTCTCATCCCACAGTTGGAGCCCTACTGTCTCATCCCACAGTTGGAGCCCTACTGTCTCATCCCACAGTTGGGAGCCTACTGTCTCATTCCCACAGTTGGAGCCCTACTGTCCTCATCCCAAGTTGGAGCCCTACTGTCTCATCCCACAGTTGGAGCCCTACTGTCTCATCCCACAGTTGGAGCCCTACTGTCTCATCCCACATTAAGTATTAGTTTGAGTTTAAGAATATATAAATATGAGTGGCATGAGAATTAATGTATCATGGAAGCTGATTAATGAAGAGTAATTTTATTATATTAATTTATTATTATATTATTCGTATTATTATTATTATTATTATTATTATTATTATTATTCATCAGAAAGAAGCGCTAAGCCACAAGGTCTAAATGAAAAAGTTAGGGGGTCAAGGCTTGGTGTTGTGATACAATAAATCACATTTACCTGTATTTACCTGGAGAGAGTTTCTGGGGGTCAAAACGCCTCCCCCGCGGCCCGGCTTGACCAGGTCTCCTGGTGGATCAGCCCTGATCAACCAGGCGTTTTGCTGCTGGCTGTCACGCAAACCAACGTACGAGCCACAGCCCGGGCTATCCAAAAGGGGAACTGACTTTAGTGCTTGTCCATGCCAGCTTGAAACTGCAGGGGTCTGTTGGTAACCCTACTTTATTTGCTGGGAGGCAGTTGAAACAGTCCTCGGCCCCTGACACTTATTGTATGGACTCTAACGTGCTAGTGACAACCCTGCTTTTCATGGGGGGGATGTCGCATTGTCTGCCAAGTCTTTTGCTTTCGTAGTGAGTGATTTTCCCGTGTGCAAAGTCGGTACTAGTCCCGCTAGGATTTCCAGGTGGTATATAATCATGTATCTCTCCCGCCTGCGTTCCAGGGAATACAGGTTTAGAAACCTCAAGCGCATCCCAGTAATTGAGGTGTTTTATCTCCGTTATGCGCCCCGTGAAGTTCATCTGTACATTTTCTAGTCGCATTTCACCTGCCTTGAAAAGGTGCTAGTTAAGTGTGCAGCACTATCAGCCCAGATAAACAGTGACCTGAAGAGTGTCCATCATGGCTTGGCCTCCCTAGTTTTGAAGGTTCTCATTATCCATCCTGTCATTTTTCTAGTATGCTAGTTATGAAAATAATTTTATGGTAAGTTGGGGGGGGGGGGGGGGGGGGGGGGGGGGGGGGGGGGGGGGGGGGGGGGGGGGGGTGGCTGAGTTTTGCCACAGTGTTTGGTCTGCTGAATACATGAACTGCTTCACAGTCCATACCACTCTTATATTTGTTCATTGACACTAATTTATTAATGTCGTTTTCCAGAGTAATATATATACCCGTACTAAGTTTCACTCTCCCAGGCTCGAGAGCCTCATCATGCCTCTTCCTGACTTGTACAGATACTGTCTCTACCACTTCGTTCCTGCAAGTCTTTTTCATTTCCTGACAACTGCTAAGACTGAAAAAATACTTTCTAGCATCCATTGTGACTCGTCTGTTTTTTAGCGTCTAGCGGTGCCATTGTGTTCTTGTTTTCCCATCTCTTAAGACTGTCCCCTGTCCATCCTATCAATTCCTCAGTATTTCATAATTTGTATGTTTTATCTCCCCCAAGTCTTTTTTTTTTTTTTTCCTTTAGTTGAAGTCTATTAATCATCAGATCGAGTCCTTACATTTCCTCATCGGACATACCATTTAGCTCCGGGACTAGTCTTGTTACATACCTCTGGGCACTTTCTCCAGTGTTCTTGACTAGAATTGTGGGTTCCACTAGCATGCATACCTCCAATACGGGCGTGAATCGTATGCCCAAACAGTGTCGTGAATGACCTCTCCTTCTTTAGAATCTGAAAGCTAGCTTAAATTTTTTCCAGACGGCATCTGCTGCAGCAGTTATTCGGTTGGTTGTCCTCGGGCGACATGTGGGGGGGGGGGGGGGGGGGGGGGAGGTACAATACTCACCCAAGGTCCTTTCTCTTGAGTGAGGTTTTGGCGGCCTTGTATTACCCTCCCCTCTCCGAGCACCTGTGCTCACTGATATATGTGGTTGCAGGGGTCGATTCACAGCTCCTGGTCTCCCTCTTCGCTGGTCATTATTAGTGTCGATCCGTTTCCCTTCCGGCTCCAAGACTTTAATCATACCTCTTCTTACAGTTATGTATGGATCCTGCCTCTACTACAGTACAGAAATAATGCAAAATATTTTCAGTCCACCTCTTCTTTAGAATCTGAAGGCTTAGTCTTAAATTTTCCAACTGCAATATCTGCTGCAGCAGTTAATTCGGTTGTGTGTCTCGGCGACATGTTGAGTACAATACACACCCAAGTCCTTTCTCCTTGAGTGAGGTTTGCGGCCACTAGAAAACCCTCCTCTGTCACTGCTAACACTGAGAGAACTGTTAAATCCTTCAAAAAAAAAATTGTTCACAGCGGGGCCGAATATAGCAGCGAAGTTTAAGTTAGAACCAACACAAATATTATACAAGGGAAAGGTGAACACAATTACCACAGTCGGTGGTCAGGCCTCAAACATCCTTTATTATATAAGAGTAAAGACGTGGAACAGATGAGTCGTTCAGGAGAGCATTAAAGGTTCTAATGGATGAAGCTACACTAATGAGGAGAGTGAGTTCCCACATAGTTAAACATTCGTGTACTTGTGATGGTAAACCGATTTTCTCAATTTAATGTTCATGTATACAACTCAGTTTACTTTATTCTTATTGTACCTCTTTTTATTTCACATGAGTTACATAGTTTTTATAATTTTAAAGGTTATAATCATGACTGATTTCCACTGTATCTTATAGGTAGGTTAACATTAGTTTACTGTCTTTTCAATCCAGGGTATCATAGCGACTCCACCCGGGCACTTCTAGCTACCATGCTACTCTTGGGTCTGGTTAGATGAGGCGAGGTTCTGACCAGAGCTTTGGTAAGATGGGGAAGGTAGAAGGATGGAATGTGGGAAAGGTTTGGGAGGGTGGAAGGGGGAGGCGGAGTTTTAAAGGTAAGTGGCCTATCCACTGGAGCAATTTAAATAAGTGTGTGTGTATGATGTGTTAGTCATGAAAAAGTTGGATTCATAAGATAGGTACACTTCCTGCCCGTCAACTGCACACCACAATACCAGCTGTATACCGGTATGTCGCTGCATTGGAAGGATGTAGGATGTATACTGTTTGCAACTGCTGGTTAGATGGGATTCCTCTTCCGATGGGTAACTAGTTGCGGCTTATTTGTGGTTTGCATTCTTTCCTTTTGACCTATGGCAGAAAAAATTAGAGATTATAGCCATGTAGTGGAGGCAGGAACCATACATAGCTTTAAGAAGAGGTATGACAAAGCTCAACGAGCAGAGAGAGGACCTAGCAGCAATCAGTGAAGAGGCGGAACCAGGAGCTGAGTCTCGACCCCTGCAACCACAACTGGGTGAGTAGAATTAGGTGAGTACCTGTGTTCATTAAGACTGGGGGTAGCTGGGTGAAAAACTACACTGATGTGAATGGCATGAGGGCCAAGGGTAGTGTAAAAGGAATTAGAAAGTCAAGAGGAAATCCCCTACATGTGGTACACTCATCGCTAGCGAAAGACTTTTCATTTCCTGTCATGAGGCATTGTTGAGCATTGTGTGGGCGATTTTCCTCCACGCTGGAGCTGTCTTAATTGGGAATATTGTGAATTTGTGGTTGCAGGAAGACTGATTCTCCGAAAGAATCTATAAAGAGTTGTGGAAAATACTGTATATTATTTTCCAGAAATAACGGTAATTAAGGTAAATTAGATGGCCCTATATTGTATTTTTAAAAGAAGTTATGTATCGAAAAAAAGACAGGACTCGCCATCTTGGTTTTGAATTTTGTACAAAAACGTTTGGTGTAATGAAGAATTTTTCGTGCTCTAGAGGTGTGAGAATTGTGTTTGACAACCTCTCATATAGGAGGCGAAATTGGTGGATTGCATTCCTGCAAATAACTTGAGATAACAGACGACTGGACAAACAGCTCCCAGGAACCTCAGATAAGCGCTCTAGATTTGTGTGTAATTCTTGCCAGCATTATTTTCATAGATTTAGAGTTAGAGTGAGTTTCTTGAGTATGATACACATTAGTCTCCAGTCAAATTGGGAGTGATATTAAGAATATATTTTCCTTCTGTTATGTAATTGTGTATATAATTATTATTATTTATTATTTTTTTTATTATTATCACACTGGCCGATTCCCACCAAGGCAATCTCGGGTGGCCCGAAAAAGAAAATCTTTCAACCATCATTCACTCCATCACTGTCTTGCCAGAAGGGAGCTTTTACCCCCCCCCTATTAACCCCCCCCGACCCCACACGCCCCCCCACCCCGCCCCCCCCCACCCCAACCGCCCCACCCCCCCCCACTACCCCCCCCCCGGCTACCCACCTCACACAACCACCCACCCCCCCCCCCCCGCCCCACCCAACCCGACACCCTCCTCCCCCCCCCCCCCCCCCACCCCACCCGCCCCTTCCTAACCCACGCCCCTCCCACCCGTCCTCCCCGCCCCCACTCCACTTACCTCCCCCCACCGACCCTACACCCCCCCCCCAGACCCATCCCTCCCCACCCCCATCAACCGCCCCCCCCCACCCCCCCCTCCCCCCCCCCCCCCCACCCCCCCCCCCCCACCACCCCCCCCCACCCCCCCCGACGGCCGTCCCCCCCCCCCCCACCATTCCACCCCCCCACCCCCCACGCCCCCCCCCCCCCCCCTCCCGCACGCCCCCCCCCACCCACCGCGCACCCCCTACCCACCCTCCCCCCACCCCCCCCCCACCCCACCCCCCCCCAACCCCCCCAACACCCCCTCCCCTACCCCACCCCCCCCCCCCCCACCCCACCCCCCCCCCACCGCTCCCCCCCCCCCCCCCCCCCCCACTACCACTCCCCCCCCCCCCACCCGACCCACCCCCCCGCCAACCCCCCCCACCCCCCCCCCCCCCCCCCCCACCCGCGCCCCCCCCCCCACCCCCCACCCAGCACCCCCCCTCTCCACCCCCCCCCCCCCCACCCCCTACACCCCCGGCCCCCCCCTACCCCCCCCCCGTCCCCCCACCCCCACCCCCGCACCCCCCCCAAACCTCCCCCCCCTCACCCCCCAACCTCCCACCTACCCCCCCCACCCCCAAACCCGCCCCCCACCCCACCCCCCCACCCCCCCCCCCACCATCCCCCCGCCCCCCCCCCCCCACACCCCGCCCCCCCCCCCCACCCCCCCACCCCCCCCCCCGCCCCCCCTCCCCATACACCCCCAACCCCCCGCCCCCCCCCCACCCCCTCCCCCCCCCCCACCCCTTTACCCACCCCACCCCCCGCCCCCCCCCCCCCCTACTCGCCCCACCACACGCCACTACCCCCCACCACCACCCCTACCCACCCCCCCCACCCCCCCCACCCCACCCCCCCCCCCCCCTACCCCCCCCCCCCCACCCCCCCACCCCCCCCCACAACCCTCCCCCACCCCTCCACCCCCCCGCCTGCACCCCCCCCCCCGCCCCAACCCCCCCCCTTCCCCCCCCCTCCGCCCCCCGCCCCCCCCCCACCCCCCCCCATTCCCCCCCCCCCGTTAACCCCAACACCACCCCCCCCCCGCGCTAACCCCCCCCCCCCCCCCCCTGCCCCCACGCCCCCCCTCCGACCCCCCCCCCCCCCCCCTACCCGCCCCCCCCCCCCGCCTCCACCCCGCCCCCCCCTACCCGCTCCCCCCAAACCCCCCCCCCCCCCCCCCCCCCCCCCCGAACCCCCTACAACCCCCACCCCCCAACCTCACCGGCCCCCCCCCCCGCCGCCCCGCCCCCCCCACGCGCCCCCCCCCCCCCCCTCCCCACCATCCTTACCCCCCCCCCCCCCCACCCCACCCCCCGTTACCCCACCCCCCCTCACACCCCGACCCCCTCCCTAAGCCCCCCCCGCCCCCCCACCTCCGCACGACCCCCCCCACCCCTACCCCCCCCCATCCCCCCCCCGCCCCCGGCCCCCCCACCCCACCCCCCCCCCCCTACCGCCCCCGCCCCCCCCTCCCCCGCCACCCCCACCCCCCCCCCCCCCCCCCCCTTACCCCCCCCCCCCCCCCCCCCCCGCCCCACCCCCCGCTCCCCCCACCCCCAACCCCTACCCATACCCCGACCTTCCCCCCCCCCCCCCCCCCACTCCCCCCCCCCCCCCCCCCCCCCCCCCCCCCCCCCCACCCACACCCCCTTACACCATTAACTGAAAAAAACAAACAGTATAACCCTACCCCTCCCCCCACCCCCCCCCCACCCCCCGCCCCCCGACTCCCCCCCCCCCCACCCCCCCCCCCTCTCACCCCCCCATCCCACCCACCACTACCCTCCACCCCCCCCCAACCACCTAGGGGTTAACACCCCACCCCCCCCCTACCACCCCCCCCCCCCCCCCCCACCCCCCGCCCGCCCCCCCCTCCCCACCCCCCCCCGTCCCCCCGCCCACCCCTCCCCCCCCCCCCCACCCCCACGATAACACCCCCCCCACCCCAACCACACCCCCCCCCCCCCCCGCCCCCCCCCCCATACACCCCCCCCCCCCCCCCCCCCCCCACCCCCCCCCCGCCCCCACCCCAAACCCCCCCCCCCCCACCCCTCCCCCCCCCCCCCCCGCCCCCAAACCCCCCCGCCCTCGACCCCCCCATTACCCCCCCCCCACTACACCCCCCCCCCCCCACAAACCCCCCCCCCATCGCCCCCCCCCCCCCCCCCGACACCGCCAATCCTCCCCCCCCCCTCCACCCCCCCCTACTCGTACCGACCCCCACCCCGCCCCCCCTCGGCCACCCCACAATTTCTATAAACAAAAAACCAAATATTACCCCCCTCGACCACCGCCCCAAACACTCCCCACCCTACCCCCCCCCCCCCCCGCCCACCCCACCGCCCCACCACCGCACCCCCCCCCTCCCCCCCCCCACACCCACACCCCTCCCGCCCCCCCCCTACCCCCCACCCCCACCCGCCCCCCTACCCCCCCCCACCCCACCACCCCCCCCCGACCTCCCTCCCCCCCGCCACCCAACCACCCCCCCCCCCCCCCCCCCCCACCACCCCACCCAGACCGACCCCCCCCCCACCCCCCTACCCCCCCCCCCCCCCCCCCCCCCCCCCCGCCACCCCTCCCCCTCCCCGCCCCCCACCCCCCCCCACCCCCCCCCACCTACCCCACCCCCAACCACCCCCCCCCCCCCCCCCCCACAACCCCCCCCCCCGCCCCCACCCCCCCCCCCCCCCCCGCCCCCCCCCCCCCCCCCCCCCCCCCCCACCCCCAAAACCCCCCCGCCCCCCCCCCCCCACCCCCACCACCCCCCCCCCCACCCACCCCCCCCCCCCTACCCCCCCATACCCCTCCCCCCCCCCCCCCCCGCCACCCCCCCCCGCGACTCCCCCCCCACCCGCCCACCCCCCTCCCCCCCCCCCGCCCCCCCCCACCCCACCCCCCACCCAACCCCCCCCACCCCCCCCCAACCGCTAACCCCCCCCCCCCCTCCCCCCCCACACCCCCCCGACCCCCCCCCCCCCCCCCCCCCCCCCCCCCCCCCCCCCCCCCCCCCCCACCCCCCCCCCCCCCCCACCACACCCCCACACCCACCCCCCCCGCCTACCCACGCCCCGCCACCCCCTCCCCCACACCCCCCCCCCCCCCCCCCCCCCCCCAACTCCCCCAACCCCCCCTACAACCCCTGCCACCACCCAACCCCTACCCCCCCCCCCCCACCCCACCGCACTCCACCCCCCACCTCCCCCCCCCTGCCCCCCCCCCCACCCCCACGCACCCCCCCCACCCCGCCCCTCCCCCCCCCCACCCCCTCCCACGCCCTCCCCCCGCCCCCCCCCGCCCCCCACCACCCCCCCCCCCCCCCAACACCCCCCCCCCCTCCCCTTACCCCCACCCCCACCAACCCCCCCGCACCTCCACGCCCCCCTACCCCTGCCCCCCCCCCCCCACCCACCTCCCCCCCCCCACCCCCCCCCCCCCCCCACCAACCCCCCCCCCCCCCCACTACAACCTTAACCCCGCCCACCCCCCGCCCTCCCCCCCCACCCCCCCCCCCACCCCCATCCCCCTCCCTTACCTCCCCTCCCCCCCCCCCACCCTCACCCCCCCCCCCCACCCCCTCACCCACCGGCCCCCCCCTCCCCCCCACCCCCCCCCCCCGCCCCCACCAACCCCCCTACCCCCCCCGCCCGGACCCCCCCTCTGTCCCCCCCCCCCCCACCCCCCCCCCCTCCCCGCCCCCCCGCCTCCCCCCCATCTAAAAAAACAAAAAAAAAAACAGAGGTTTTTAACTGCATCATTAACACCCCTCCTTCAGAGTGCAGGCACTGTACTTCCCATCTCCAGGACTGATAAGGGCTCCAGCTGAGAGCTGAAATATAGTCTCTGTGGATATTTTTTTATAATTTTCCTAAGTTCAGCATGTGTAAATATGAATAACATAATAATTGCATATTAAAATGTGATGCTGATTTGACCCTTCAAGAAATTTTGTGGAATGTGTGCAGCGGCCACGGAGTGATACAGGGAGGGGGGGGAAGACGCCATAGTGAATATACATGTGAGCACTGGTTTGCTAGTGGTGTAAAGTAATCTGGCGTCAATGCCATAATGGGGTATTCGGCCTCATTTGTAATAGAACACGGTGTTAATGTCCCTCTGACTGAAGAATTGGACAGGAAATGTGGACACTCCAGAACTTACGTTATGATGGTGAAAAAATAGGAGACCACACCATCACTCACCCAGGGAAGTTACGGCCATTGTCCTTTCATTTAGATTCTCTCTGGCCTTGAGGGTTTCTATATGTTAGGTAGGCATTGTGGCATGACCCAACTACAGTAATTAAATGGTAATACAAATTTCTTTTTTAATAACACTATTGTATTGTATGCATTGTATTAGTGGTTATATTTTGTGTACCCAGCAAGTAAACCAAAGTAACATACAGTCCACATAATTTTAATTTATCAGAGTAGCTGGTTCTAATATTGTAATTATTAATTTAATGTCAGGTCAAGCTTTTTTGTGAGAGTGGTGAAGGAGTGGGCATCGAGGGAGTGACAGTCCTGTGACCTGTGACCTCACGCAAATTACTTACATGTAATAATTCAAGTAATACCGTGTAAACCTCATGCAGGTAATTTCTCACAGTCTCATTCCCAGTGTTGATTTGGGCTAATATAGAACTTAGGTTTTGGTCTGTACTCATGCATTATTTTATTATGTATTAGACTAGCATATTATCGTTACCCTATCAACAATTATTATTTCTTGTGCAAAATTTTATTTCTGGAGATATTTTGCAAAAACAGTACATTTATTTTGGCAAGAGTGACGCATCCAATCAAACCAACACTTAGTACTGAGTTGTGTAATGCAGCATAAACATAGGCAAATTGAACATTAACAAAGACATATCATTCATAGGCCTGGTCGTGGACCGGGCTGCGGGGGCGTTGATCCCCGGAATAACCTCTAGGTAACCTCCAGGTAACAGTTGGCAGAGTAAGGTAAAATATAGGCAAACAAAATCATGGCTGGAATAATACAAAAATAATAGGCCCTAAGTCTAGGTTATTTGTGTAGAGTTATGTTAGGTTAGGTTAGGCTGGGTTTTCTTAGGATGCATTACGTTTCTTAACATTTGCTCAAAATAAAGTTATGTCCAGGACATAACCCACCTAATGGTCGCACACTTTATGAATAATTATTATCCACTCAAACTGAACTCTGTGTTAATCTTGACTTGTATACAATATCTTCATTACATTTTCCATCATCTTATGTATATATATAATATATATATATATATATATTTATATATAAATATATATATATATATAAATATATATATAAATAATAAAATATATATATATTATATATGTCAGTGCGAATATGTAAAATGGTCAATTAGCAAAAACTCATTTAAAAATTAAGTCCTTTCTGAAATTTCTCTACACGTTAAAGATATATTTTTTTTCATTAATTTGATGTAAAAATTTACAATTTTGCACCAAAAGGAACTTAGAAAACTTACTAACCTAATTAATAACAGAACAATTTCTTTTAGCCTAACCTAACTAAATATATTTAGACTTGTTTACAGTAATTTAATGCTAAACAAACACCAGAGAAATATATTTTTTTCGTTAGGTTCAGAATGATTTTGGCGAAATTATTGCATAACAAATTTTCACGTACTATTCTGCAAGATGAGCGTTGCTCCCTTTAAGCCAGATCGCAAGTTCAGCCATTCGTCAGCGACATATATATATATATATATATATATATATATATATAATATATATATATATATATATATATATATATATATATATTATATATATATGTGTGTGTGTTGTGTGTTTGTGGTGTGTGTGTGTGTGGTGTTGTTTGTGTGTGTGTGTGTGTGTGTGTGTTGATCGTGCCTAATAGGCAGAACTTGCCATCTTGGCTTAAACAGCAACGTTCATCTTGCCATATAGGACAAGCGAAAATTTGTGTATGCAATAATTTCGCCAAAATCATTCTTAACCTAACGAAAAAAATATATTTTACTGTGTCTGTTTAATATTAAATTATTGTAAACAAATCTAAAATATATTTAGTTGGGTTAGGCTAAAATAAATTGCTCTTGTTATAATAAGGTTAGGTAAGTTTTCTAAGATTTGTTTAAATTTTCCTGAGGATGTTACTGGAGGTTTTACCTTCATAAAGGTTCACTGTGTAGATGAAAAACAATAGAATCAAACAAAATTTGCTGAACATTAGTTATAAAGTAGAAGTGAAGAATTACAGACATAATACCAAAAGAACCATATTTATCAATATATTTATAAAACCTTATTGTTTACTGTTTTTACATGATTCAGTTTTATGTTTTGCTGTTGTTGAGGTTCAATGTTAGTTAGCAACACTACACAACACTGCTCCCTCCCTCATGACATAGTAATTAATATGCAAGCTGTCTTATATATGTGAGAATATTAAATGAAAGAAACTTCAAGATTAAAACACTTAACATCTTATGTAGGAACACGTCTGGCAACACTGACTTACTTATATTACTGGAACATTAATTGATACTTGTTTTTGTGATTCTCCGGTGTTTATCTTATGAGTTTTCCCTCTAAATCAATTAGAATAATTAGTCTAGAGTTCAGGTTACAAGATTAAGATATAACAGTCGTTTCTAATGGCGAAGGCATTAATAATATATTTTTAAAAGAATTTGAATGTGAGGTTGTGAGGGCTTGTGTTGAGTGACGTCACAGGCTCTGGGCGGTCCCTGCATGCTGATTGGTGGAGACCACGGCTCCTGCACGCTGATTGGTCGACGCCATGTTTGGACTGACATCACAATATGGCCACCACTAAAGTATTCGCGCTCGCTTTAAACTTGTAGTTTTTCAGCGATAACTTGGCCATTTTCTCAATATCATTTAGTCAAACTCTTATGAAGATGACCTGGAAACTAAGCATAATCTGGCAAGATAATGGGCAGAGTGTGAGTGCTTCATTCTCTTAAATTTATTCTTATTATCCCAGACACTCCAAATCTCTTCGAAACGGGAATTCTTTACTGGAACATGGCGATGTTTACAATGGATTACCGCCAAAAGTTGTGTTGGTACAAGAATTTACATGTTGTATATGGAATAACACACTTGTATAGTGCTGTGTATTAGCAGTTTATTATAAGAAAAGTCACTGAGAGGAGCAAGCAGGCAGTGCTCACTAAAAAATAACGAGGATAATATATATTGCTTCCGTCATTGAAATATTATTTACACATTGTTCAAGTATAATGAACCTGGGAGATTGTTGAATTATTATTTGTAGGAAGACTGGAGAGACTAGTGTTGAGTGAGAGAGCAGTGAAGCTCGTTATAATGCTATCACATGTTAGGTCAGGGACTCTTAATACACCTCAGTCTTCAACACCTGTCTCAACACCTGTCTCAACACCTGCCCTCCTAACTTATAATATAACTAAACTATCCATCTGTCGAGTGTAAAAAACAAGAAATATTTCCCCTGATGGGAGGGAGTCACGTTGGCATTATGCTGTCTGACTTTTTGGGTTATCCTGGGTTCACTACACATATACTGCTATATATGTATAATCTATGTAAGTGTATTTGTGTATACCTGAATAAACTTACTCACTGACCAGCAGGTGTCCCCTAGCTAGGCTAGGATGAACTAAATTATGATTCTTGACTGTTGAGACCAGCATGACTGATCTATGTTGTTAGGACCCCAGTGGAATTATGTCACTTTGTTAGACTTTTGGGTTATCCTAGGTAATCTACACATATGCTGCTATGTATGACAACTTATGTAACTTTATGTGTAACTGTACCTGAATAAACTAACTAGGCTAGGATAATTAGTTATGTGCTTATACTAGGATAATTGCTGTGTCTTGTAGTTAGTCTAGGATGATTACCCTGTGGTTAGGCTAAGGTGATTTTCCTGTGGTTAGTGTAGGATGATTGTATTCTATGGTTAGCTTAAGATGATGGGCCCCCAATGGAAATAAGTCACTCTGTCTGACTTTTTTGGGTTATCCTAGGTTCTCTACACATATCTGCTATGTATGATAATTCTATGTAACTGTATTTGTGTATACCTGAATAAACTTACTTACTTACTTACTAATTAGATATATAATACTGATAAGTTGAGAAAAACGTGTGTACAGATACTTTAAACATTTTAAAATGAAAGGTTACATTGGTGAGACTTCGCTCATTCCAGTGATACATAGGAAATATGGTACATGACTGTATATTAGCAGAAGTAACAGGTTCATGTTAGGTAGAAACAATGACAGGTTGGGTTTAGACAAGTTTTAGGTAAGGTTCAAGTGTTCTGGATGACCTCACTTCCATTCTGTTGTGTTTGCAGTGAAGTGTCCCACGACTGAAAATTTTCCTTTTAAAATGCCTGAAATTTTAGCGTCTGTGTTATTTTCCTTAACTATGGTGATTCCTCTATTGTAATCACCTATTTCTGACTACAGGAACAGAGCTATGCCCATGGTGCATATCCTTATTAATATGTTCATCATAATTAAAAATCCAGTGGTTTTCAGTGC